AGCAGCACACCTATCTTCAGCTTATATTTCAATAAAATAGGTCTATCTTTCAACAGTTTTGGGTGCAAACTAAGTGCAGACTAAATAAAAAGATTTCATGAGATGCCCTTCACAGTGCCCCAAAAACAAACAATTCATTATAATGCAAATATGTGTAATAGCTACTCTACTTCATAGTGGTCTAGGAAAATCATGGGAAAATTACAAAATTAGCTCCTGCAACTCTTAATAAAGACTCAATAATAGTATTAAGTACCTATAATCTGCTGCATCTACTATTGAGGCAAATCCAATTTATTTCTTGGGAAAGTCAAACATCTAGTATCAAGGTCATATTCTCATGAATGGATTTAGACACTAAAATTTCCAAAGTGACTTGTCAAAGATTATAAAACTATTTCAAAGCCAAGGTCAGAATTTAGACCTGAATTTTAAGTTTCCTGTGCTCTGTACATCTACCCCAAAGTACTCTAATAAAAAACCAAGTACGACTGCTTTGCTTCACACAAGTACCAACAAACAAGACCTCAAAATGAGAATTAAAAAAAAAAAAATCAAACAGTAAAGGACACAAACTCAATACTTACAGTTGCTTTGGAAGAGCTGTACCGTAAGAGGACCAAAGAGTTATATCACACAGCAGACAGCCTTGAATAATTAATTTGCCTTGCCATGAAGAGGTGAGAGCTGTAAGAAATGAGTAAAAAGAAACGGATTATTTATGAGCAAAACATTTACTTAAAAAACATAAAAGAACCAATTAAATAATGTCTTACCATTTTCACTGACTTCAAATCTAGGGAAAAAGGAAAGGCATGTTTATAAGAGCAAACAGAACAGATCCAGTAAAACAAAGTATGTGCATAATTACTTACATGCTTTTATGAGCTGATGCTGCCATCCTTTTAGGCTCCCTATACTGAAAAGCTACAATAACATAAGGGCAGATCTGCCTGGGTCGCTCAATAACGGAGCTGCCTGAAAGTTCATAGAGGTAATACTGAAAGAAAAGAAATAAGGATTATCGGAGTAGCACCATGGAACGCTTTATCTCAACTCCACCCAGTCCTGACATTTAACACAGTAGATTCAGAAATGTATCTTGGGAATGATTTATTCCCAGGTGACTATACCTGACTCAGTTCAAATGCGCGAAAATGACTCGTCTTGTGAGAAACCTTGTTAGTATTTGCAGCCACGTGGCAATCATAGCCAGAAGATGGGCTAGTATAGTTAGTGGTATAATTCTCAGACACAAACTTGACTTTTCCCTAGAATAAAAATATTAAGACTAATCAGATGTCTTCAAAAGGCAATAATCTTACTCTAGGATTCATTTAAAAGTAGCCTAATAAGTAAGGATATGGATGTGTTTCAAATTGTGTTAACAACTATGGTTCTTAGCAAATTATCTTAAGGCCAACAATAGTTTTAATTATCCATGAACCTCTTAACATTGTATTTAAAAATCTGGTATGTCTGGGCATCTTCCTGAGGTAAATGATCACAGCTTCTACCACAACATGAAAGGAGTACATGAATCCCCCCAAATTTAAGAGAATCATTTCTGTAAAAGAAAAATTATACAGCCCACCAACTGAACAGATTAGCTTAGTCAATGACTGTAACATAAAAGGTGACAAATGGAATCTAAAATTTCACAAGATGAATTTTCAAACTGAAGTATTAAGTTATCAATTGTAATTTTTAGATCAAGGTATTTCTATTATGCCAGGACCCAGTAAATCAGCAAGAAGCAAATAGACAGTAAAGTGCTTAGCCGGACCTGATTACTGAATAGTCGATAGTATTTCCGATTATAGATTTCTCTTCATCAAGGGTTACATGTCTTCCGGGGGGCGGGGTGGGGGAGGCAGTTAAGGTTACCATACAATGAAATATCATACAACGATTTTAAAAGCTGTTGTGAATATAATGACATATGTGGAAAAATACACAGAATATATACCAAAATGAGGTAAGGTTATAGGAAACTTTAATTTTTATCCTTACAGGAAGAATCTAATTTTTTTGGGGGGGGGTGTTAAGGTCCTGCCTCTTCATTCATAGGACCACCAGGGGCATTAATAAAAAGTCAAAGAATATAAATAGTAGTTCTCAGTGAGCAATCACAACCTGTATCTTCTCCCCCTCCAACATTTTATGATGTCACGCATGGCTGGCTTTTGAGCAGTAAAGCAAGAACTGAGAGCATATAGGTAAAAATTGACCAGCAATATCCACCAGACAGGGGGTTACAAGCCAAGAAACCCAGGGCGAAGCACAATCTGACAGAGGTACAACACGGAATGAGGGTTATGTGAGCCGATGGCCCAACTACTGCAGTAGCTCTCCTGCAGGAGGAGGCAGAGGGAGGAGTGGGGATCGCGCGCCAGTGTGATGCTACCTTCCCTCCAGTTCTTGGGGTCAAACCTTAGAATGTGAACAGTTCACACTCAAAAAACATGTCAGTAGTGTTGGTTTATAATCAGAGAACTCAAGATAGTAAGAAAGCTAAAACCGAAGCAAAAAACAACAAAATGAGACCACAGAGTATGTCTTCACAAAGCCCACCAATCTCTAAAGTCAGAGTTTTCCTAGGAACTACTTGAACTATTTGAGGGGGTTTTAAGAAATTCTGAGATCAGCAGTTACAGATGCCACATAAAACTGTCAACAGGTCTGGATGTTTTAGGGATAAAGGAAATAAGGCTCTCTTATTTCAACCATGTAAAAAGAAAACGAAAGTTGCTGTCTAATTCCTCTCTTATAACTGTAACCACATTGTTCTTATAGGTTGCTACTTATGTTCTGTTATTTAATGTTTAAAAAGTAGCACTGTGGGCCAGGGCGAGAGGAAGATTTTTACTGATTACTTTCTGTGTTATTTTGAGAGTTGTTTTGTTTTTTAAAGACACAGTCATAGATCATTTATCAAATGAACAAAAAAGCTTTGTCTTTAAAGGAAAGCAAGAACAGCAGTTATCTTTTCTGAATTTATAGCTGTCTTCGGTGACTATGATATTTAGCAAATGATCCACAAAGAACATTATCACAGACTGATAACTTTTAGTTTTTAAAAGAAAAATTACATGAAAGAGCGTTTGGGCTTTACCTTAATTAGGTTAAAAATTACAACATAACCAGACTTCCCATGATACCATGGTCTTGCATGAAGATAGTCTGAGTATTTGGAAATATACACACCTATAAAAGTATAAGATATAGATTAATCACACTTTAAAAGAATTGTTTACTCACATACATTTCACATGTAGGGCTACCTTTGACAGAACAAGACAACACAAAAGACAAATAAAAGTCAAAATTACACTGTTTTGAAACTGCTTACCTTTTAAAAACTATTCAAGATATTCTAAAGGTATGGAAACATTAGAGCTAAGACAAGACAGGATGTATCTGATGGACAACCAATGTTCTAGTTGGGTACAATAACTAAAAAGGGATCCAAGTATCACAATTCTTGGTAAATTCTAAGTTTATTTTTTTTAAGGCAATCATTCAGTGAAAAGGCCTATCTGTAGTAATCCGATTCTCAAGTTATTTTTTGCAAAAAATCTCAGTAAGGACTCTATTCAATAATAAGCACTAAGGTCTGCCACTTGGCAGGTATGTGCTAGGCAGCAGTGGCACCAAAGTAAACAGGACAAGGTCCTGCCTTGAAGCAGCTTACGCTGCTAGTCTGTGCAATCTGCAGTTCAGGCAGGGGTCATGTTTGTTCTATTCACCACTGTAGCCACGCCACAGCCCAGTATATAGTAGGTACTTAACTATTCGTTAGACACATGTATTTGAGGACACAAAGAAATGGAAATAAGCAATTATATTTTCTTAGAAAAGGAGTTCTTTAAACAGGGGAATGAAATTCTCAGAGAACAGAGTGAACACAAGTATGGAAGCATAGAAGATTATAAACTGTGCAGGACGGTGGGCCACAGCATGGGGAGCAGGGGAGAAAGCATGGGAAGCTGAGGCTGAAGGGGAAGCTTGGAACTGGGTGGTAAAGATCTTTGTAGGACTTCTTCAGGGGAGACCTCACCCTATAGGCAGCAGAGACCCACCAAGGGTTTTCAGCAGCAGACTGCCACTTACAAGACAGTAGAGTCTCCAGAGGGGAGAGGCTAGAAGACCAACCAGAAAGCTACTGTCAGAGCTGAGACAGGTCCCCATGTGGCAGCAGCAGGGGAATGGCAAGGGAAGAGCAGATCCCACAGAGATTCCTAACCTGAGGCATCTCTCGAAATACGAGACAACGGAGAGAGCCCTTGGATATCCTGGAAAGAGCAATGAACTTGTGGTAAGAAGCTTGGGTTGCAGCACCAAGTCATTCACTTCCTACTAATAACCGCGTGACTGAGGAGCAAGTCACTTGAGGTGGGGGCGGGGACTTGGATACATAGATCACAGGGTCCTCAGGAAGATTTAAAAAGATCTATAAACTTTTAAAACTAAAAGACACTACATTCACAGAACTAAACATTTCTATTTGAGCCCGAAACTATAAAATATATGCGTTCTATTTTAATTAATTAAAATTAATTAATATAATTAAAATTAATTATAACTTACTATATAAGTTCTATTTTCTTACCCACCCCACTATGTGTTTAAGAAAGTGTATTTGTTAAGAATAATGCAGTTTCTACTCCAGCACCCCACCGAAGCCAGCCTCTTAAACATCAACCATATAATTAGGAATCAGAGTAATGTAGAACAAGGGCCTTATATTTTGGAGATGTAAGCTAAAGTATTTACTTGTAATTTACTTTCAAATTCTTCAACAACAACATTTTTTAACCAAATGAAGGGAATAATGCAAAACATGACCTGTTAAACCTAGGGGATGGGTACATTATACCATCCTCTCTTCCTATGTTAGTTATGTTTTACAATGAAGGGGGGGTGAAAAAGAGTAGGAAGAAAAAAAGGTTTTATGTAAAATGTTATCGGGGTTATGAATGTATTCCCTCTCATGGCCTTTAGAAGATGTGAATGTAAGTTTTAAAGCATTTTGTGTTACACAGAGTGACCACATAACCCGGCAATTCCACTGCTGTGTCTATACCTAAGAGAAGGCAAAACACATGTCTCCACAAAAACTTGTACATGAATGCACACAGCAGCATTTCCGTAACAGCCAAGAAGTGCAAACAACAAAAGGTCCCTCAAGCGCTGAAAGAATAAAGAAAATGTGGTAAAACCATACAGCGGGATATTATTCAGCCAAAAGGCAGACAAAGTACTGCTATGAGCTACAACATGGATGAGTCTTGAAAACACTAAACTGAGAAAAGGAGTCACAAAACATCACATAGGATTCTGCTGATGTGGAATGTCTGAAGGAGGCCAACCTGGAGAGGGGAAGAGCAGGTTAGTGGCTGCCTCGGCTGTTGGTGGCAGGGAATGGAGCGTCACGGCTAAATAGGCACAGGACTTCTTTTTGGTGGGATGAAAACAGTCTAGAATGGACTGTGCTAATAGTAGCACTACTCTATGGATACACCTAAAAAAGCTGAACTGTACACTTGAAATGGGTGAATTAGAGGCTGTATAAATTTTATCTCGATAGAGCTGTGAAAAAGAAAAGGCCAGCAGGAAGCTAGCCACTCCTGATCTCCACAGTGGTAGCACCTGATAGTGCTAAATACCCATCCTCCTCTCCCTCCCCAGTTCTTCCTCCACTGGACTGCCCCCCCTCCCCCCCCCCCGGTCCCGCAGCGATCCACAGTCCTGTTCTTTGTCATCTTTTCCTTCAATAATGCCCCATGTAACTTTGGCTTCAACTAACACCTAGTCCTGCCACCTTGAGCCCCATCTCCAGTTCTGATCCCTTTTTCCAGCTGTTTTTTTTTTAACCATCAGGAGGGTATCTCCTGGTAACACCTAGGAAAACCTCACTATTTCTCAAATTTAATTCACGAAAGTAGTAGCATCCATTTACTGAGAGCTAAGTGCTTCATGTAGCCTCACATGATCCTTACAGCAGATCTAAATGATAGTTTTATCTATTTCACAGACAAGGAACTTGAAGCTCAAAGAAATTTAGTGCTAATCCACATTCTTAACCGTAAGATTACCTTTCTCTTTCAACTCCTCAGCTTCCCTACCAATCTCCTTTCCTTCTGTGTCTTTTCTCTATTAACAACATCACTGTAGTGTAATTTACAAGCTTGTATGTGAATATTTCCTTTCTCTTGCTCCTCACATTCCACAGTTGCCAAGTCTGGCCAGTTCCATCTATTCTCTATTCCTACTGCCATTATGATAGTTTAGAAGACATCCTCATTAGCCCTGGATGATCGCACTTATCTCTTGGTACTGAAAGCTAATTTCAGTATCTCTTCTAGTCCAACTTTAAGAAAAAGTTTTGATCATGTAACTCCTATGGGAAAATCTTAAGTCTTAAGACTCGAAGCTCATTTACATGTTTAAAGCACTGATTCTAAAGATTATTATTTATCACTAAGGAAACTGGCTTTTAATGTAAGTATCTTATGAAATGAACTAAACCCCACTTCATCTTGTAAAAGAAGAGACTCCTTTTCTCAGACTTACCTTTTGCTGGGTCACCGAGAGTGGTTCTAGCACTGCTGCCCACACAGAGCCCGCGCTGACACACTAACTTTGCCTTTAAATAAAAGACAGTACTTTGCTTATCATGTCAGTCTTAGGAGAGACAATGAAGTAACACTATAATATATAAGCTTTCAGATAAATATATAACCTGTATATGGTGTGTATTTATGGCACAAAGCAAGCTTGTGTAAGGCAATTGTGTTTGGTTAACAGTTCATGAAATTTTATCATTTCTGTTAACAAAAATGTTATCAGCAAAACCAAATTAAACAAGCTTCCAGATTAAGTCCTCTCTTGAAGATTTTGATTATAGCTTTGGAATCACTAAATTTGAAAATGTCTTATCCTCTAATGCCTTTTTTAGTATGAATCCATAGTGTATCTTATTTGTAAGTAGATGATTAAGTAAATAAATGAACTCTTCTGGTATTACTATATAATCCTTATGTTATATGCTAATGTTAAGTATTCTTTAAGCAAGCCTACCCTTGGTTCTTTAAAAATCACAAACCCAATCAAAATATGAAATTATTTTAAGTTGAATTCTAAATCTCTGGTATTGTTAAAACTGTATCTAGGGAGCCACATACATCTTTGGGAACACGCTCCACACAGTAGCTTCCTTCTCCCACAATTTGGGTACAAGCAACAATACAGAAGCTCCATCTTTAAACACTGGCATGAAATAAATTCAAGTAACTCAACTGCTGAAAGTGTTCACCTTATGCCCAAAACCATGTAACTGAAACTTGAAAAACCTCCACAAGAAACAAAGTATCTATTGTGAAGAATGATCCAGAATGAAGAAATACCCATTCACTCCATTAAAAGGCATTACTGATACTTAGGAAACCCGTATTAATCCAATTCTCACCCTGAGCTGACAAATGTATTTATGATGAAACTAAAGAGGGCCTGTGAAAAGGTACAGGAATCCAACCTCTTTCAGAACTAGCTGTCACGATCATTCCCACTGCCACCAGACTCAGCAACAAAAAAGACTGGAGAACTGGTAATTTTACAAATCTTAGAGAAGTGAAATACCAATATTTAAGTTTAATGATATCATTAATTTTGTACACTAATGTCACAAAATTAATGTTCTACAACCTAATACCCTTACCTGATTTTCAGTTTCAAACAGAAGAAACCCGTAAGTCTCTTGAAGTTCTTCCTGAGTATAATTACTTGATTTTTTTTCTTGGTAAAAAGTTCTGTACTGTATAAAAGAGAGAATAATCAAATGCTATAAACATACTATTTTGTCTTGCAAATTAATTTTTAAAAATGCATCATCTGAATTCCTCCTGTTAAAGGACTACCAAAATTTATTATTTTTCTATTCCCTAGAATATATTCTTATTACCTTCCAAGGATTTCTTATCTCATCTCAAAGTGACAGCTGAGAAGAACTAGATAGGCTTTTATACCAAAAATGATGGGTCTATTTCTTTAAAACTAAAATAAAACTAACACACAGACACAGTGTGTACCAAGCACCTCACCTCATTTAAGAAAATGTCATTTTTCACCAAAGTCACTTGACTGTACTGAAAACCATGCTCAGATGCAGAGTCCAAGTAAGAAGTATGAAGAATTGAAACTGCCCTCTGGAAGAGAGAGTCTGAACTCAAGGACACTGTCTCAAAAACTGTAAAACACAAACAAAAATAATGCAACTGTTTAAGATAACCAAAGGATGGGGTTAAAAGCGGCATACTAAATATCACTGAATACTTCCCACCTATTTCCTTCCTGTAAAACTCAGACACTTACATTGTATTTTGGCTCCATATCTGTACTATCCTTAAAAGACCTCTCATGTGAAGAACATAATCTACACGGAGGTGAGTTATTGAAGGTGAATTACTTTCAATACAAGAGTAAAATAAACCCTGCCAGATTCCTTGGGCCTTTTGGTTGAAAGCTGTGTGTTGTAACCACAGTTGGGACAAGCAGATCAAATGTGGTAGCATCAAGGCGGTGGTCAGCAATCACTTAGACCAATGTTTCTCATCCTGAAGTTTTTTTAAACTTATGCCACATTTTGATAAACTTCACCCGTCCTGTCTTCTCATCAAATCCCCCCAAGTAAGCCCATTAGGTTCCTTTTTAGGGGCTTACTATTGCACACTCAACAAACACATTAGAAATTGTTCTATATCTGGGGTTTCCTCATGGCCTAGACATGTCTGTTGAACTTTACTTCTTATGGGTTATATTATGAAATCATTTTTTTCATTTCACAAAAATAAAATTTTATTACTTTTAGAAAGTGCTTTTTTCAAACCCCACCCATGTGCTAGCCCAGAAATTCTGACATGACCTTCCCAAGAGAGGCAGGTTTCCTAATCGAGAATTACTGACTTGACCCAATAACTCTCTTGATTGAGGCTTTGTGCCTTTTGTTTTACAAGTTTTTACTTTAGCAAGAATTGATCCTAACAAATTCTCGTAACATTTCACTATGATTTGGTTACTCCTATTTGTGTCTTCTCTATGTTCTTTAACAAGGTCAAGGCAGGGAGGTAACAAACTACTTATAAATAATAAAGAGAATGGAATAACATACAGAGCAGTGGAAGTTTGGGTGATACAGTATAAATAAATACATTAATATGGCTTCCCACTTTTACCAGAACTCTTTGCCAATTACATTAAAGTTCAAAAGCTAAAGGAAAGACAAACATTTTAATTAAAATTAACTTATGAACCACAGTAAAAAACTAAACTATCATAGAAATGAAAACAAACATTTCAGTAAAGTTAACTTGGACTAAACTGTCCTAACACTTCCAATTATCCATTAAAATTGCTTTACTAAACTTCCTAGCATCAAAAGTCAAAGACTTAAGTAGCAAGGAAGGAAAGAAAAGAGGATGAAACATTTAAAAATATCCTGAAGTTCCTACATCTGATCCATATCAGTTGTTTTACTTTTTCTCAGTTTCACTTTTTCCTTCAATATCAGTATATGAATGCTATAAAAAATATGGATATTCTAAAGAGGTTCAAATAGTAAAACAACTGGGATGATAGTTAAAATGATGGCTTTCTTGAGCTACATTACTTTCTTTAGCTACGTTAGCCCAAAACAAACTGGGAAGCCTAAGCATGTGTGACTCGGTCTTACAAATAAGCTGCACTGCTAGGCCAAATGCAAGTCAGGATTCCTCTAAAAATCCATTTGGGAAACCCTGTATTTAATATTTGTAAAAAGGCAAAATAATACTTAAAAATCTAAGTAAACTCTAAAGCTCAATATTTGAGAAATAGGTTGCTTACACTGAAAGAAATAAAAGTTGTCAGAGCTTTGGAAATGCACATTCTATGGTTATGAACTCTTAAATTCCACAAGATGTTAATACAAAGACACAGGCTTTTAACTTTTCAAAGTACCAAATACTACATATATCCACATTTTTGAGGGTCAATGCACAATAATAAGCGAAAAACTGAAAAAATAGTGCAAGCTGAAAAGCAAACAAAAATAGCCCATCTTACACAGTGTTTGCCAAATACATGTGGTCAGAGAACACTTTATTTACCAATGTGAGGAATACTGCTCTCAATAAAGCTATGAATAGATATAATGGTTTAAAATAAACAGTAGGAAATGATTTTGTGCTAACGTATTTTTATTCCTAAAACTATTTATAGTTAAAAATGCTTCCCCTTTAGGTCAGCATTCTCCAAAAAGCAATATATTTATATAAGTAACCATTTTACAGTTAGCAGAAGGTAAAGCATGTCCAAAGCGAAACGGTTAGAAATCCACAGTAAATCTTGAATCTTTCATGATTTCGTAATAAAATGATGTCAATTATATTCAAGAAAGCACAAGTTTCCTGCTGTATAACAAAGGAGATAGATGACCATTTTATTAAGAAATTATTTGACATTATCTCTTCTTACACAATGTACTCTCATTTAAGAGTCAAACTAGTGTACAAAATAGTATGAGCACTAAATAAATGGATGGCTGCATTTTTGCTGAGTAATACACATGCTTCACTTAAACATTCAAGGTTATGAGAATATTAAGAGAATGAAGAGGGGGCTATGCTACAGAGAAATACTAGAACAACTTAAAAAGTACCTGTCTGTAAAGTGAAAGAGTGTCCCCTAGGGCTTAAGTGACCAATAGAGAGCAAGTGGGGAAAATTCAAGTTCAATCACAATAATTCTAGAAACTGAGTTAATATTCTTTCCTATAGCACCTAGCTTTGGGCATATTTCCCTGCTATTTATGGATTCAGTCTTAAAAGTTAAGTCAAGCTTGACATAAGCTGGATTCTGTTCAAAGTGCCCTGAGATAATCTCCCCCTTTCTCAAAATCTATCAGCGATACGGAGTGTCTGCTTTTGGACACTTGTTTCTCTTTTTAACTTCTAATAAATAAGAGGGATTAGAAAATTACAAACTGATCTCTGATGCTCTGGCACACATATCTGTTTTCCATTCTCTAAGCATCTGGTCTGAAAGCAAAGAATGAGATTTAGAACTAATGCCAACACCTTAGGTGTCTCAGTAATTCTAACATAAATTAGCCACTTCTACATCTCCCCGGGGACTTTCATGACCACTTTTCTTGTTTGTGCATTATACAATAGCACTCATCAAAGACAGAAACACTCAGAACCCAACAGTATTCACCATTAAAGGCCCCACCATTAGTATTTCCTACTGAAGGACTGCAACCTACCTCTGTTAACACTGTGGATGCCTACATATTTGACCTAGTCTAAGTAGGCCCTTTGATAGTTGTTAAAGAGCCCATTCCCTCATCATCTAATCCTAAAATGTATTACCTTTATTTTCAAGACATTAAAGGATTGCCAGTTTAAGATAAATACAACTTTTTTGGATCTAACAAAAACTTAAATGTGCATACCCAATAACCATTCCATTTCTGGGAATCTATTCCTCAGAAATACTAGCACGAGCACACGCGAGATATGTACAAGGCTGCTCCACGCACCGGCATCAATAACAGCAAAAACACTGGGGATAACCTAAATTGCCATCAATAAGGAAACACCTTACAACTACTACATAAAAACCAAGTAAATCTGTATATACTGACATATAAAGATATCTACTCTACTACTGAGTAAATAACATGCATTTTGATAAAAAAAATATATAAAAAATTATGTGTTTGGAAGTTTACAGAAAGGAAGTTTACAGAAAAAGATCTAGAAAGATGGGAAACCAAATTGTTAATGGTGTCTAAACCAATGGTTATCGAAGTGGAAGTGGATAAAGGTGAACTTAAACTTTTTAGCTTATATATATTATTACATCTTAGGTTTTCTCTTACATAAGCATGTACTACCTTCTAGTATTTAAAATATCTCAATTCAAAATCAAGTAAAATGAATCATAATTTCAAAGAAGTACAAATAGAGAAATGTGACCATTTCCCTTGAGCCCTTTCTGATGCAATTCGAAAATTTAATCACCTATTAATTTTGGATTAATGATTCTTTTGGATTAATGAAATTTGTAGTCACTGGAAATTGTAAATATTTTTTAAAAAGTCCTTTCATTTAACATGATATAAAGTAAAAATTTTCAATTGTACTGTTCTACTTGGATTCATTAGTAGTAACTCATAGCATTTAGTTTAATACCCACTCTTTTGTGATAGGAACCCTGGCTCGGTCTTCTCTAAAAGAAAATGTAGCTGGGAGGGTGGTCTTAATTCATTTTCACCAAGTATACCCCCAGAATTCTTGACATAGTCCTGTTCTCTGTTAATGTCATAAATGCTAAAATGAGAAAAGAAAAAATTAAATCATAAAGTGAATAGTTCTATTTACGGCATACCTACCATATAAACAAATGTCTACTGAACATCTAATTTACATTAGGTACAATTCTGTAATGTTACCTCCTTTGACAAGTCTCCAGAGCTAAGGCTAAATTGGTTCTATAAGCAGTAAAACATAAAATGAAATGCTTTTCCTTCAATATTTAAGTTCTAAAGAAAATCTGTTGGGTGCCTGGGTGGCTCAGTTGGTTAAGCGACTGCCTTCGGCTCAGGTCATGATCCTGGAGTCCCTGGATCAAGTCCGTATTGGGCTCCCTGCTCCGCAGGGAGTCTGCTTCTCTCTCTGACCCTCCCCCCTCTCATGTGCTCTCTCTCTCTCATTCTCTAATAAATAAATAAAATCTTTTTAAAAAAAATAAAGAAAATCTGTTCACAGAACTAAGTTATGCTTATAGGAATCACTTTTGCCTCAAGATAAAAAGTAGAGGTTATGGAACCACATTTAATGTTCTACTGGTTGAAAGTAAAATCAAATAAGAACACAAACAAAATCTGTCCCCACCCCCGAATTAGTATATGACCCATTCTTTTTTTTTTTTAAGATTTATTTATTTTAGAGAAAGAGATGGGGGGAGGGGCAGAGTGAGAGGGAGAGAGAATCTCCAGCAGACCCCTGCTGAATGTGGAGCCTGACGTGAGGCTCAATCCCACAACCCCCAGATAACAACCCAAGCCGAAGGCAAGAGTCAGAGGTTCAACTGACTGAGCCACAGGCGCCCCGCCCCATCCATTCTTTAAAAAAAAAAAAAAAAAA